ATATATCAGAAAAATGAAACTTTAACTGTTTATTCTGTCACCTAATATCATGCTATAACGGCAAGTAGGTTCATACAATATGTTCTTTTGGATTTAATAATCTTATAATGTAATGCAATGTAATTAATTTTGTAAAGCAATATGATGTAATTCATTACATAGTTGAGGGACTGTAATCGTGACAACAGTTTTGGATATAATCATCGTTCTAGTACAAGATTTATTGCATGGTTAAATAGTGGAAACAAACAACACGGTCAATTTTGATTTTTTTAGATAAAAAGTATAAAATGTGTCATTAAATATAAGCATCAAGGGAGTGCTAACCCATATACACAAATTTTTACGTATCAATTAGAGTATCAATTAGCTCTCCTATATTCTCCATGGAGTACAACAGTTTACCCATAACCAAAACAGCAAGATCTGGAACCATCTCTCTTGAATTCTATCTATACCCTCTTCCACCTCATCAAAAATTCTCCTACTTCTTTCTTTACACACTACCTAAAAAATTTCTAGTGGAATAAGGCCCCAATGTTTTTCCCACTAGTAATATCCTTCCAAGCCCATATCTCCTTTGTAGTACTAGTCATAACCCAACTGTATTCTAGAATCCCATATGCCATAGACCATAAACTATATCCTATAGGACATTGAAGCAGAATCTGGTCGCTAGTTTCCTTCACTCTCTTACATAAGCAACACCAGGTAACCATGATCTTTCCTCTTCTCATTAGCTTATCGATCAAATAAAGAACTTATTGATGGCCAATATACACCCACAAACTGCTTCCCAAGGAAAAAAATGCTATCTTTGGAGGGGCATTCACTTTCTAGATTTGTCTAAACTGAAATTGCCCTTATTGTCTCTTTCTTGGCCAAATATCTGTAAAAGGTCCCAGCAGTAAATTTCTCAGTTGCACTAAGGGTTCATATCGGTTGATCATAATCCTCTTTCAGCAAAACCGATGTCAAAGAGCTTAATTAAGATTCATATTCATTTATTTCACATTGAGATTCCGCACAACCTCCAGATACCACTCCCTGCGTCCCCCGCCTTCTCCAAATGCCTCTTTAACAGAAATGTCATTATAACATGCAATAACAAAAATCCAAAACCTGTTTCTTTATGATTACAGAGGAAGCACGGCCAATTTTGATTATAATGTACCTCTGTTTTTACATTATATATTTTTTTTGAAACAAAAATGTATTAGTGTATTAACATGGTACCAAACAAGGGTACCAACCCATTTATAAAAGAATTACAGAGTAGTAAGCATATCAATGACAATCCCAAAATCCTCCTCATTCATCATATCATGTCCTTACAAGCTTGTCCCAAAATAATTAAACCATCTATATCTTAATTTATATAATCCTACTTCTTTCCTATCAAATGCTCTAGCATTTCTTTCTTTTCAAATAACTCAAAAAACGGTCAATAGAACCAAAGTAGAAACACGAACATTGATCTTAAGCCCATCCCAAGCCCAAATTTCATCCCTAACATTCCCAGCCACAACCCAATTAATCCTCAGCAGCCCATAAATTATACACCACACACTATAAGCCACGGGACACCATAAAAGTAAGTGATTGCAAGTTTCCTCTGCACACATACAAAGGTAGCATCTATTAAATAATAAACTGCTCCCTTCTTTTTAATTTGTCCATAGTGAGAATACTTTCCCTGCTTGCTTCCCGCGCAAAAAAGGCCACTCTAGGAGGGACTTTAGAATTCTAAACTTGTTTAAAAGGGAAATCCCAACTGTTATCCCCATCCCCACCAATCAGCATTTTGTAGTATGAATGGACAGAAAAATTTCCCATTTTTTCTAACTTCCAGGAGACCTGATCTGAGCCCTCTTTCACATTCTACTTCTCCAAAAGCGCCAAAAGTTCTTGAAACTTTTGAATTTCCCAGTCATTTAAGTGCCTATTCACTCTAACAGACCATACGACACAATCATTGCAAGTTCGGTATGCATCAGCCACCAACATCGATTTCAAATGGGCAATTTCAAAAATTTTGGGAAACCCATTCTGCAAACTGTCATCACCAACCCATTTGTCACACCAGAAACTAATTTTATTCCCTTCCCCCAGGTTCCATTTAATACAGCTGTAGAACCTCGGCCATTGTTTCATTATATTCTTCCACAAGCCTCGTCCATGATCCCTAGAGCTGGCCCCAGCACATACTGCATTCAGATCAACCCAGCGGAGAAGCACAATTTTTCTCCATAGCTTGTAATCTTCATTCGAAAACTTCTATAACCATTTTCCTTGAAGAGCCAAATTCATGTTGACTAGAGATCTTCTCCCCAAACCACCACTATGAATTGGTTTTTTAACCTCCTCCCACTTAACCAAATGGTATTTCCTTTTTCTATCTTCATCGCTCCATAGAAATCTACATTGAATAGGTTCCAATTTTCTTGCAATTTCTTTAGGGATGGTGAGTGTCGAAAGGTAGTAAATAGGGAGGTTGGACATAGTGCTTTTGATTAGAGTTAAGCGGCCTCCCTTTGATAGGAAATTCCTTTTCCAACTCGCAAGTCTATTTTCAAACGTTTCAATAACCGGTTTCCAAGTACACTTATCTTTGAATTTGGCCCCCAAAGGAACCCCCAAATATTTCATAGGAAACACCAATGCCTTGCACCCCAAAACCTTGGCATATTCGCTGCCATGCCCATTACTCCCAGTTCTACCAAGCTCTGATTTTAAGAGGTTTATTTTCAGCCCCGATGCAGGCCCCTGATTTTAAGAGTTTTTTACATTATATAGGTTATTAAAGGAAACCAAAATGCAGTTAGTGCAAATTAAAGTACAGCCTTGATGGTTTTGTTCTCCTTGATCATTTTTCTTTTCATGATCTGCTAATTCTTTATAATTTTGAGATTTCTTAAGTTGTCCTAGGGTAACTTTCTCTGCTTTTCCAGTTGACTAGTGCATTCAGTTGTTGGTGTTTCTGGATACATTTTAGTTTAGTTATCAAAATAAAATGAGGAGGGAGAGATCCATGGTTTCCAACTGCATGAACACTTTATCATTCAGTCACAGTTCTTATATAATTTATTTACCAAAGTTGTATTAGCATAAATGATCTTCACAATGATGCACGGTGACCATAATGCGTATGTGTGCATTTTCATGGTTTCCATGTCTGGTTTTGGCAATCATGGTGTTCAGTCAAATCTTACTTGGTGAATTGAATATCATTTGACAGAGACAAACGAAACTAGCCCAAGATGAAAACCAATTATTAGAAAATATACTTCGAATGCTGCTTCAGGAGCTGGTGGTATGTTCATGTACCTGTTCAAAGAGTTCTATGATTTTGGTTTTTATTTCGTATTTGACATAAGATCGAACCTAGTCATGCTCAAGGTACATAATTCTGTTCTTTATTTCTTTTCCTAGAGGTTTAAAGAAATTTCCTTCTGTACTTGCCAAGTTATTGGTGCCAGCACTTCATAAGGAAAAAGGAAAAAGTAATGTAGCTCTTTTGGGGAAAATATTTCACTTTTTAAATTAGAGAACAACACATGTTTATTTCTAATGATAATTTCTTGATGATTTTTGGTTTACCTGTAAATTTGACCTTTCAATTTTATTTTTTATTCATTATTAATTTACTTAGATGAAGAGACTTAGGGATAAAGTATATGAAAGAGGTGATTAATGGATAGAGTTCAGAATATCAAATATAGCATACACAACTGAAGTAAAAAAATAATACATGATGGAACATCTATCTTGCCTTCTATATTGATAACATTATCTTGACCAACAATTTCCTAAAACATGAAACATAATCACCAAGTCGCAAAGTATTTGCACTCGCCAAGTTGCAAAGTGTTTGCACTATGTTATTTTG